GTGTATTCTTGCCACCTCTTCTTGATGTCTTCTGCTTCTGTTAGGTCCCTCCCATTTTTGTCCTTTATCATGTCCATCTTTGCACAAAATGTTCCTCTAATATCTCCAATTTTCCTGAACAGATCTCTGGTTTTTCCTTTTCTATTATTTTCCTCTATTTCTTTGCATTGTTCTTAAATGAAGAAGGCCCTCTTGTCTCTCCTTGCTATTCTTTGGAAGTCTGCATTCAATTTTCTGTAACTTTCCCTATCTCCCTTGCATTTTGTTACCCTTTTGTTCTCTGCTATTTCTAAGGCCTAGTTGGACAGCCTCTTTGCTTTTTTGCATTTCCTTTTCTTTGGGATGGTTTTTGTTGCTGCTCCTGTACAATGTTACGAGCCTCTATCCAAAGTTCTTCAGGCACTCTGTCCACCAAATCTAGTTCTTTAAATCTGTTCTTTACTTCCACTGTGTATTCATAAGGGATTTGGTTTAGATTATACCTGACTAGCCCAGTAATTTTTCCTGCTTTCTTCAGTTTCACAGTCAGCTCCAGGTCTTGTTTTTGCTGACTGTATAGAGCTTCTCCATCTTTGGCTGCAGAGATGGAGATCTCTGATTTCCATCAATCTGATTTCGGTATTGCCAATCTGGTGATGTCCATGTCCTGTTGTGTAGTTGGAAAAGAGTGTTTGTGATGACCAGCTTGTTCTCTTGATAAATCTCTATTATCCTTTACCCTGCTTAGTTTTGAACTCCAAGGCCAAACTTACCTGTTGTTCATTTTATCTCTTGGCTCCCTACTTTAGTATTCCAATCCCTATAATGAGAAGAACATCTTTCTTTGGTGCCAGTTCTAGAAGGTATTGTAAGTCTTCATAGAATTGGTCAGTTTCAGCCTCTTCAGCATTGGTGGTTGGTGCATAAACTTGGATTATTGTGATGTTGAAAGGTCTGCCTTGGATTCGTATTGACATCATTCTATCATTTTTGAGATTGTATCCCATTACAGCTTTTCCCACTCTTTTGTTGACTATGAGGGCTACTCCATTCCTTCTACGGGATTCTTGCCCACAATAGTAGATATGATAATCATCTGAATTGAAATTGCCCATATCTGTCCATTTTAGTTCACTGACGCCCAGGATGTCAATGTTTATTCTTTCCGTCTCCTGTTTGATCCAGCTTACCAAGGTTCATAGATCTTACATTCCAGGTTCCCATGCAGTATTTTTCTTTGCAGCATTGGACTTTCCTTTCACTTCCAGGCACGTCCACAGCTGAGCGTCCTTTCGGCTTTGGCCCAACCACTTCATTAGTTCTGGAGCTACTCGTACTTGTTCTCCGCTTTTCCTGAGTAGCATGTTGGACACCTTCCGACCTGAGGGGCTCATCTTCCAGCATCATATATTGTAGCCTTTTGTTTGTGTCCATGGTGTTTTCTTGGCAAAGATACTGGAATGGCTCGCCAGTTTCTGTTCCAGGTGGATCACGTTTAGTCCGAAGTCTCCACTATGACCTTTCCATCTTGGGCGTCCCTGCACGGCATAGCCCATAACGTCTCTGAATTATTCAAGCCCCTTTGCCACAACAAGGCAGCAATCCGTGAAGGGGATTCTGAGCAGTACTTCACATTAATTTCCGGTGCAATCACTACATCAGTACTAGCTGACTAAGAATCATAGTCTTAGGTGAGCCCCCTCCCCAGCCAAGTGCTCTGCGAGTGTATTGGGCTATAACTCCATCATCCTCAGCCAACATGTGCATGATCTAAGAGTGAGCCGCAGCCCCTGAGGCTGTCTTTTATTTTGCAGACCACCCAGAATTCCAGAAATACATCTGGAAGCCAACCTCTTGGGAGGATGTCTGCCTTGGGGGCATAATTATTGCAAAGCGTCATCTAGTCACTTCAAGTTTATAATCCTAATATAGTTTTTAAGAAATGTGAGATGTTCAATGAATTGCCATCCCCACAGTGTGTTTCCCTATCTGGATATGGATTTGAATCTAGCACACAGTAGCACACTGGCTCTCTAAAATTATCCATTTGATGCTTAATGACGTTCATTGGATGGCGGGGGGGGGGATTCACTTCTGGGACTGGATTGATTTCTAGGAAGTTCAAAACACAGAGAACATCTTGTGAAAGGGCACAGAAATAGAAACCCATAGGGAAAAGCTTACAAAAGCAATTGATTCTCCCCTGGAGAGACTAGTTTCACCTTCCATAAAATATATATAAGACACTCAGAACTGAAGGTAGCTTCATTTTGCTTAAAAAAGGGAAGCTGTATCACAATGCTTGGGAGGGCAGGTATCTGGGAGTCATCAGGGTTTTGCTAAACTGGTCTTGTCTCTCCCCCTCCTTTTTTTCTTCCCTTCTGCTTCATCATGGCTATCTAAAAGGACAGTTGGAACCAATAAATGAGGTGAGTTAATCTGATTATTCCTCCTTTCTCCTCCTCCTGCCTCTTCAATGTGCAAGGGAGACTGTGGTGCATTTGAGCCTACTTCTATTGCTATGTCTTTGGTTTTATGTCTTTTCTGGTATGCTCGTTCCCTTCGTAGTAAATTGCATCTTGATTCCTAAAGATGTAAAGGCTTTCTTTTAAAAAATGTGAATCGCAAATATTGTCTTGTGCTGGAATATCTGCAATTGGCTAATTTTTGTCATTTAGAATGCAGATAATTCTAGGCCAGTATCTGGAATTGGAATACAGTTTTTTATATTCTGTTTTCTGGGGAACGGGGGAAGTTTCTGGCCCTGATGTTTATGGAGAGTCAGAGAAAAGATTTCAAAAGAGGAAGCAGAACCTGAAAAATATACTTTCTGGACTACAGCTGTCAGAATCCTACAGTCAGTGCAGAATAGTCCTGAAATGGTTTGTTTTGCTTCCTATAATACTGACTTTTCCCTTGAGCTTCTGTTTGTTATATCCCATTTCCAGCTCAGTCTGTAGAAAGTTCATGTGCATTTTGTTTGTACAATTTCTGTTTACGCATGTGCTTCCTATTATATCCAATATAGCTTCATTTAATGTACATGATTTTGCATGCAATGTTTTCCAGGGTATGCATAGTTGATCTTTGTTCCTTAATGTACTTTTTTGCATTTCTTGGTGAGCAGCATTGAAAAATGTAGTACGGTGCAGAGGAAAAAGTGTGTTGCAGTTTGCATATTTGTTTGGGAAGTGCAGATTGAGTCGGTTTGCATTAACATGTGAGCCAAATGAATTTGGACCCCATCCCTAGGAAAGGGCAGAAGGTGAAACAGTTTCATCACCCCCCCCCACCTATGTTTTTAATTCTTTTATGAAAATTGTAGGCCGTCTTGAATACTACTTTGTAGTGGGAAGACTTCTATAAATGTAGTAAGTTAAAATAAAGAGTAAATATTTATTGGAACCCCAGGACTTCAGGTCTTGTTTTAGTCTTGTTTAGTGAGCTGTGGTCCAGAAGAAAACTTTCCTGAGCTCTAGATAGCTTTGTGCACAGACCTGAATGTCCTCGCTGCTCAGAAAGCTCCTGCACAAGGATCTCTCTGGCCCGAAAAGGCTCTCTTAAGCTGTAGTCATAATCCACGAGCTTCATGGGAGGCATGCCTTCCCAGTGCAGTTAAAGTGAAAAGGGTTTCAGAGCAAAGGTGGAGCTAAGCTAGTCACTGATATTGAACGGCAGCTCAGTTTCAGACTCACTATGAGATCGTCTGTTGCTGAAGAACCATTTCCGTCCTGGACCTGTAACTCTCCAGTTTGACCACCTTTTAGATCTGTCCATGGTGCTGTCTTTATCCCAAACTTCTGTCTTCCGTGCAGAGAATTTCTTTCTCCCAGAATCCATCTGTGTCCCTGCCATGGTGGTGGAGAATCCCTGGAGCCCTCATCCAGAAGGAAACTCCACCAAACTCTCGGCTTAGTTTTCTTTTACCTTGACTTGCTTTTCTTTTCTGGAATGTGGGTTTTGCTTTGCCAGGCTTGGTTTGATCCTGCATTGTTTATTTATTTTATTTTGTTTATTATTCGAATTCTACCCCGCCCCTCTAGACAGAGTCTACTTGGAGCGGCATACAAGCAGTTATAAAACATCATAAAAAATAGTCATCATAAAACAATCACATAATTAAATCAACAAATTTAGAAGTTCAAGATGGGGAAAAAAGAAAACCAAAGAGAGCAAATCAAGTCTTGGCTGGAGGGAAGGCCTGCCTAAAGAGCCAAGTCTTTAACTGACTCTTAAAAACATCTTCCTGAAGCCTTGGTATGCCATTATATAGTCATCCTGGCCACCATGTAGTTGTAGTTAATGAAAGCTTCCATGGTGTCTCTCTCATGGAAACTAATGGTGATGGCTATGCATTCCTCCCCAGCAGTATCTAAAAACTGTTACTCATTGATGCTCTGCTTTTCCATTTCGGTCTGTCCACTTCTGAAAACTTGAAGTCTTTGCCCTTTTGTCCAAGTAGACAAGTACAGTGACAGTTACAGGGCGAACATTATTTTTTTCTACACACAGACAGACGCTAGGGACTTCCTTTGGGAGAATACATGTTTCCTTTTTCAATGTTGTAATTTTGGTGTGCTGCCCAAAGAGAAAAACATTGGGCAGCACACCAAAGACTTGGTAGGGAAGAGATTTGTGGGCCAGTACCTCATAGTAGGATAGCAGGACATTGGCTCTTTTAAGTGCGAGTCGGGAGGTGAGGCTGAGGAGCCTGATGCCGAGGGAGATCCGGAAGGGAAAAAAACGGGCCTTCTCGGCGGTGGCTCCTTGCCTCTGGAACAACCTACCTCCAGAGATTCACGTGGCCCCCTTGCTGGGTATCTTTAAAAATCAACTAAAAACGTGGATTTTCTGGCAGGCCTTCCCTCTGGTTAACCCCTGATGTCTTCCTTCCCTTTCTTCTCCTACTGTTTGTTTTCCATCTTGTTGAATTTGTTCATTGTTCATTACGTTAATAATTTTATATTCATTTATGTATTTTATGTGTATTTTATTTATGTTGTAAGCCACCTAGAGTGGTCATAACTGACCAGATAGGTGGGATATAAATAGAATAAATAAACATGCTTAAATGGCAGCTTCTTCTGCTTTATGAGTGGGCGTGATTTAGTTACAGGTCCAGCCAGTTGGAAGAAGACATTGAATCCCAAGGTGTTTTTGAGCCGGTCAACTGCTTGCTTCGTTAACTTACACAGAGACTATTTGTTTCTGTTGCCGCCTTCTCTCCCCACAGAGGTCCCAAGGCAACTCACAATTGGAACCATAAAATAACCACAGTTAAAAACATCATAGAAGACTGCAGCAAAAAGCAATGAAATATCTGTCAATATTAAAATTGTCATCCGAAACATTTTAAAAACACTTTTTAGAAATTTCATTATAGGATGTCCAGTAAAGAAAGACTTTTGCTTCACTGCATTGACATATTTTTCCCCTAAATCTTATTTTTTAAAAAAATCAGGGAAATTCCACAAAGAGAGGAAAGCATTTGATTTAAAACAAAACAAAAAACAAAAATGGTTGAAGATGCACTCCAAAAAGTAAGGCGGTTCAAAGCAGAGGTCAGTTTCTCCCTCAAAACATGGGCCTGGTGTTCCTTATACTTTGTTTCTTATATACAGTGGTGCCTCGCCAGACGATGATAATCTGTTCCACTGAAATTGCTGTTTAGCGAAATCATTGTCTAGCAAAAAGGATTTCCCCATTGGAATGCATTGAAACCTGTTTAATGCGTTCCAATGGAGAAGAATCATCGTCGTCTAACGAAGATTGGCCATAGGAAAGCTACTTTGTGAATCGCCGATCAGCTGCTTAAATCGCTGTCTCGCGAAGCTTAGGTCCCAAAAACACCTGTTTTGCGAGCACGGAGGGAGCTGTCAAAATCGTCATCTAGGGAAAATTGGTTTGCGAAGCAGAGACCAAACATTGTCCAGCGAAATTCCCCCATAGGAATCACTGTTTTGTGAATCACTATAGTGATTGCAAAAAGTCAATGTCTAGTGAAAAAACTGTCATGCGCGGTAACTGTCTAGCGAGGCACCACTGTACTTTGCTTGGAGTAGAAGCTGAAATAGAAGTCGTCAGCATGCTTATGTTTTAAGGCAGATGTCCCCAATCCCCGGTCTGTGGCCCAGTGCCGGTCCATGGCCTGAGCTGGACCGGGCCACCGAGACAGACCTTCCGCCCCACCCCTGCACGCGTTCACCCCCGCACAGCCTGTTTGCGCCTGCGCGTGCTCCAGCATCCCCGTGCAAGCGCTGCCCCACCGTTTGTGCATGTGCACAAGCGCGTGTGCACCCAGAGAAGTGCTGTGCCGCCATTTGAGCATGCACATGAGTGCGGGAGGTGCCCCGCCTTCCCCAGCCGTTCTGCAGACCAAAAAAGGTTGGGGACTGCTGTTTTAAGCAGAATTTTGTGTTTTTATTTTTCCTTTTAGGGACTGAAAGGAGAACTCAATTGTCATGTTTACTTACGGGTAGAAGTCAAGATACAAAAAGAGTGTATCAGTCTGTATTTTTAATGAAGAGGGCACTTGATCTATGGTCTGGATTTTCTTATTTTGGAGGAGACAAATTTTTCCTATAGTTCTTCCCCCCCTTTTGGGAATCCTGATTTATATTGCACGTGCATGTGTACACACTCTCTCTCTCTCTCTCTCTCTCTCTCTCTCTGACACACACACACACACACACACACACACACGTACTTTGCACTTGAGCTAGAATGCTTAAGATGCTGGGACTATCCTTGTAAATAAACATCTGCACTTTCTGTGCAGCTCCTGGACCTTCTTGTATGTCCGAAAACTCTTCCTGCCAATGGTGTCTGTTTTCCTTCTGTTTCCCGAACACTGTCAGCTGTAAAATACAAACAGTGGTCTTCAAATCCCATCTGCTCGCTTCACAGTGAAACATACAATCTTTGAATTAGAATACGTTATGATGTTATTGATATTGATTTGATTTGATTACTTCAGTTTGCAAACAAAACATACTCTTCCCTTGTCTGCCAACCTTGTGATGCTTTTAGGCCTTTGTTTTTTTCACACTTTAAACAGACTCCTTCTACTGCTTCCATTCTGGATTGAGTTCAGTGTTGACTCACAACATTTTGCTGCCTGAGACAAAATGCAAGATGCTTCTCCCTTCACTGAGCCCGTTTAACTCAGTGAATAAATTTCTTTGCTTTCTGATTTTGGCATACATGGCGGCAAGCCAAAGCCTGCACATTAGTGACACCTGAGTGTTTGTTCCTGCCAGTAATCAACTGGTTGTAATTTTCGCTTTCTGGTTTCCCACGGCCGAAGGGCCTTTTGTCTAGAATCTCCGATCTCTTACTGTGCAGATGGACTTGCCGAAACTGTTGTCAGAAGTGTTATGACTGCAGTTGCTGCCAGTCGAGCGAAGACGAAGTGGAAATCCTGGGGCCTTTTCCGGCACAGACACCCCCCTGGCTGTAAGTTCAGATGCTGTTTCTAGAGTACTGTTTGTGTTGTTTTGGTTTTCAGAAGAAACTCCTTGAGTGCGGAGCAGGCTTATTTGCTTGTTAGTGAAGACGGACTTTCTGTGAACAATATTACATGATCCCTCCACACCTTTTCTAGGAAAGATACATCAGGTTTCATTGAAGGGGGCATTTGGTGGACCAGAAGACAACAATCCTTCCAATACTGAAGTTCTTGAATATACTCAAGATTTAATTACTCCTTAAATGATAGGCTGATATCCAGTTGCCTACATGCAGAGCAGAAGGGAAATTGCATAAGCCTCTCCCTGTATGAGCTGCCTCAATTAAATATATATCCAATCCCCCTCCAACACACTTTTCTACATCTATCATAGAAGTGTAGGGAGAGAAGACGGTGTAGAGCTTTTCTTCCTGTTAGATAATCATAAAACCCAGTGGAGCCATTGACTAAAAACGAAGGGTTGGAGATTCAGGAGAGAGAAAAGAACGCATTCAGTGGTCAAGGTCCTGTTGCTTAGTGTAGTAAATTGCAGTGGAGTAGATCAATCAGTGGGGATTTGGTGACTCAGTGTTTCCATAAACTCCATCCATGCAAATGGGTCTGCTCTAACTGTGGCTTTATCATCAGAAGTCACAGCTAGAGTAGGTTCATTTGAAATGGAAGCAAATCCCTATTGATTCAATGGGCTTACTCTAGTGCAGTTTACGGCACTAAGCAAGATGTAATTAGATGATGGCACTCAGTAGTGCAAGGTGCAATGGCTACCATCTAGGATGACTTTAAAAGGTGACTGCTTCATGGCTGGGCTGTATAACACCTCCAGTATCAGATAAAGATATACAGGTATGTGTATCCACTGCTTTAAGATGTGAGGTAGTGCAGTTGTACTCATGTCCTGCTGGTGAGCTCCCCACAGGCATCTGATCGGCCACTGGTTCAGAACACAGAACCGGGTGGTCTTTCCCATTTAATTCAGCCTGGGCTGTTCTTTTGCCCTTACGTTCTGCAGGCTGTTTTCTTTTCAAGCCCAACAACAATCTCATAGATTTTTCACTCAGAACAGCGGAGGCTTTGTCGTTTTATAAATTTATGAGCAGCCAATATTGGACCTCAGCTCTTGATGCATAATGTCATCTCCAACATCAGAGAAATTATGTTTTTGCTGCACTATAGAAAACTGACAACTTGTCTTTCTTGCTGTGGCAAATCTAATTATGTTGACTTAGCACACATGGCAACAATGCCTTCCTGTCATTTCCTCTCTAATGTTTGGTTTTCCGCCTTGTAGAGTAAAAAAAATGTAGTTGTTCTTGCTGCTGCTTCCGTTGTTGTTGTTGTTGTTGTTTGCAAAGAGCAGCTGGGGCTTATTGGTGCGCCATGGTCCAAAATGTCCATCATAGGTGTCCCAGAAAATGAGCATTTTGTGCTCCATGATATTAAAATAAAATGTTAGCTCCGTTTTTATTCTTGGTAACCCTGATTAAACAAAAAACATGGGGTCCATCTAAACAGAACCATGCTTTTTTAAAAGGAAAGTACTTGAAGTCACTAAAAGCAATCTTTTTGAACAAGAGGATAGCTCTTGTTCCTTTGGTTTAATTTACTATTCTACTTAATAACTGGGAACTTTTTTTGGTATGTCTTTGGTCATGTTCTTCTTCCTCTGCTTTAAATATAGTCATTATCTTGGCACATAGTACAGGATGTCAAGCCCAGAAAGCAGCAAGCATGACTACAAAGGCTCAGACACCAGGATCATCTGCCCCCTTTCTGAATCATCTGCCCCGTTTCTCAGTTGTACTTCCAGGTTTCAGGTGTGACTGGCTGGGCTCACCCTTGAAGACATTCACACTCATTACTGATTATTTGTTTTCAGGCCTCCTAAGAGGGGCAGTTTTTGGCTCCTTTTCTTAAACGTACGTTAGTTGCTGTGCAGGCAGAAAGGCCTGAAATGGACGATTGGGGTGCTGGCTGTTGAAGGTGCAACATAAGCTTCCTTTTGTAAGGAGTAACATTAATGTTTCTCTAGTGCAGTGGTTCTTCTTTGTGGTCTCCAAGAATGCACACAATTGGGTTGTTCTGCGCCTGCGCAGGACCTCTCAGAAGTTTCTAGAGCTTAAAGGTAATTGATTTGTGGGACATTCCCCCGTGGAGCGCATGCTCCGCCCCACCCAAAGTCCCCTCAAGTTCCTTTTAGCTGCCTTTTCGGTTGGACCTATTTCAGAACGTTAGAGCAATTGAGCGATTGTATTTCTTAGATCATTCCTTTATTTCTTCTTCAATCATCTTTTTTCTTGGATGTTTCCCCTGTTTATTCTACATTCTCCCCTTTAGATTATCCAAATCTAGTTTTTTCTTCTTCCCACATTTTTCTCTCCCCCCCCAAACTACAGTTCCCTCCCCCCTTTTTCCTACCTTTTATGGCCCCTCCAGGACCTTTCAAGCAGTGCGCGCTCTGCACAAATAAAATCCCACTCACCAACAGTTGTGACCGTTGCCTCTTGTGCCTCAGCAAGCAACATCAAACACACTCTTGCCCTGAGTGTAAACAACTTACTAAACCCGCTCTTAAACTGCAACCACAAAGACATTGTTTGTCCCTCTGGGAAAAATCTCTTAATTCAGCTCCCATGGATCCAGTGATGTCGCCACGTCCGGAACATTGAGAAACCCCTCAGCCGGTTTCGAGCCCTATGACTCCTTCCTCTCGTCAGAAGGACCATTCCAAGTCGGCTTCAAAGTCGAGCTCGACATCTACGTTGAAAACTCCCATTTGTCCTGATGACTTCTAAGAAGAAGAAAGATAAGGTGAAACCTAAAAAGACCAAAAAACCTTCCAAATCAACTCATATAGACCCACTTCAATTGGTTACGAGGTCAGTTAACCGCCCAGAGTAGACCTTTGGTCTAGATGGGCGGGATAGAAATTCAATCAATCAATCAAATTCCATCTCCGATCCTTGAAGAGTCATCTAGAGATGCCCCGGGATCTATCTCCGATAGAGATGACCCTACTTTGACACTGGCTCAGGCTGCAGCCTCAGTTGTTAGCCTCTCGTTGAGCACTGGACTATCTCCAGCTGATGTTCATTGCAGCTTGGCCTCGGCCCATTCAAGCCCCAGATCACCAGGGTGGGCAGTACCTATTTAGGTCTCTGGCTCGGAATAGTCTCATCACTCTCCCTGCAAACACCGGCAAAAGAGACGACATCTCTCGTTCGTGCATCATGATCTCCTGGATACCAAATTCTACTACTATCCCAAGCCAGCTCACTACTCAGTCAGAGATGATTATGGGGATCTGTACCATTGTTACGACCCCTACTATCATGAGGATCCAACTGAACACATATATTATGAGGAGCCCAAGAGAGTGAGATATGTTTTTCCACCTCGATATTCACCCTCCGTATCACCTTCACCACCTCAACGTCAACATCGTTCTCCTTCTGCATATCCAACATTGGCCCACCATATGTCGATCCCTACTAAATCAGCTCTCAAATAAACTCTTCCTCCTCCACTTTCTCCAACTCAATCTAAACAGACCAAACACTGTTCCAGACCATCCCGTACCTCTCTCCACATCACTACTACTTACAAAGGACCTCCCCTTCCTCCTCCTGACATTGTACAGTCTCCCGTACCACAATGGCCTCCAAGTTAACACCCGCCGCCACCATTACAAATCTTGACATTGGCAGTCAGACCTACTCAATGATGACCATGTTCTGAATCCTCTCCTTTTGTTCAAGATTCCTCTTCTGACGCTTCTCAAGAATCACCTTCAAACTTGCCTACCCCCTCTTCTGACATGGCTGAAACCCACCCGCCTTCTCCATCAGAGGATGTCACATCCTACTCTCAGCTTGTCACATGAATGGCAAAATCCCTGGAACTAGATGTTGAAGAACCACCACCTTAGAAGAAGGACTTGGTCTTTGACAATCTAAATCAAGACAAGACATCCCCTCTTAGCCTTTCATTCATTCCTGCAATGCTCAAGTTGGTAAAAGAATCATGGGATAAGCCCCCTTCATCATTGCACATTTCAAGACGTGTTGAGAATCATTATAAGACCCATGGTCCCGATACAGCTTTTCTCTTTAAACATCCCACACCGAACTCAATCATAATAGAATCTAATCAATCAAGAGCACGGAACACAACATCGGTAGCCCCTAACCGAGAAGGAAGAAAACGACATCTTAGGAAGGCTCCTGTAGTCTCTTACATCCTTTCTTATGAGGGTTACCAATTACCAGGCCGCAATGCGTGCATACCACACACAGCTGTAGAATAAGATTCTATTCATTCTTCAAGCCATGCCTGATGCTTCCAAAATATCCATGCCGAGGCCACAATCCTAGCTAAGCAATAGAGAATTGCTTCATGTCATACTGCAGACACTGCGTCTAAGGCTACGTCAACCTCTATTGCCTAGAGATGCCATGCTTGGCTGAGGTCAGCGGGCATCTCTGACGATGCCAGATCACAAACTGAAGACCTTCCATTTGATGGAGCTGGTCTCTTCAATGCAAAAACTGATGAAGTGATGGAGAATCTTCATAAACTCCAAAAGATTGCATGTTTATATTCCGCCCAACAGCAGCCTTACTGGTATCAGTGCCCTCAATTTTGAAGACAACCAATCTTCCAACAGCTTTTTCAGTCCTACCAACATCCATACCAACCGTACAAGCCACCAGTCTCTGATCGATCATAATCTGGCCCGGCGACATCTTCGACACCTACCTTCCATCCTCAACAACAACAGACACATCGACAACCCTTTCGACGCCCACAAAAAAAAGGGTAAGCAGTATTCATAGACCTTTTCAGTCTTCTTTTCAAACTAGACTATATCCTTTCCTCAACTCCTGGCATCGAATAACTAATGACCAGTGGGTTCTTTCTATTATTCAAAACGGTTATTTTATTGAATTTAAAAGTACTCCACCTTCTGGAACCATTAGGACCACTCCGTATTCATTGGCTCTTCAACAAGAAATTTCCCTTCTTCTCCAAAAACAAGCTATATACATAATCCCTCCTTCTACCCTCCACGAAGGGATATTTTACCGTACCGAAAAAAGATGGAGGACTCCACCTTATTCTTGACCTTTGAAATCTCAATAAATTCATTCAACATCAATGCTTCAGAATGCTGACGCTTGACACTATTATTCCTCTCCTTTCACAGGGGGATTGGCTTGTTGTCATCGACCTTCAAGACACGTACTTTCATTACTCTATCTATCCGCATCACCACAAATTCCTCTGATTCCGATTCGACAACATTTCATACCATTTCTCCTCCCTCCCATTCAGTCTCTCTATGGCACCAAGGACCTTCACCAAATGCATGGCACCGGTTGCCGCCTATCTCCGTCTTCAAGGTATCACCATATTTCCTTACATCGACGACTGGCCGATAGTTGCCACTTCCTATCATGAAGCTGTTGGAGCCACCCAGTTAGTTCTCTGAGACCTTGAACTCAAGGTGAACCTTGCCAAATCCCATCTCCAACAATCACAAACTGCCATTTAGGAGAGGATCATTGAATTAATAAGAGCAATACAACCTTTTTGACCTCTAGCCTTGGTATTGGCATATCAAACCCAGCACCTTCTTGGACTCATGGCTTCCACGACTGCCGTTATCCAACATGCTTGGCTGAAAATTAGGGTTCCTCCAGTCATGGCATCTGTCACTCTTCGATCCCATGACAGACCTCCTGTCCATACGTCTCACAGTAACTTACAAACATGCCCATCAGCTCACCTGGTGGACGTTTCTTCCTCATCTACTCATCAGAAGACCTTTTCTACCACTTCAGCTCACAATACAAGTCACCACTGACGCCATCCCGTTGGGCTGGGGGGCACATTGTCGACATCACAGAATCCATGGTCTCTGGACAAGACAAGAACAGTTATTGCACATAAACCACTTTGAACTTTTAGCAGTCATCAAGGCCTTTCGCACCTTCTTACCAATCATTGCAGGGCAAGTTGTACAACTAGCTACAGACAGTACAACAGCCCTTTATTATGTGAACAAACAGGGAGGCATGCACTCCCTCTCATTACTATACCTGGCTGTCAAGCTCTGGAAGTGGTGTTACCTACACCACATTTTCCCAGTAGCAGTACACATCCCCACAGACAACAGTCAACTCACAGACCATCTCAGTCGCCTCAGCACGTGAACACGAGTGGTCATTGGATGACAATGTTTTCGATCTCCTCTGCCATCAGTGGAGTTTCCTGTCCATCGATGTCTTTGCCTTCGAGAGCAACGCCAAGTGTCACTGATATTGCTCCCGTGATGGTGCCAGCAAGAACTCACTAGGAGATGCCTTTATGATAGATTGGAATGACGAGTTCCTCTACCTCCTCCCTCCGATACCACTCATTCAATGCACCATCCTTCTGCTTCGTCAATTTCGCTCGAATGCCATACTTCTCACCCTGTGGTGGTTACAACAACCATGGTTTACCCACCTGAGGGTGATGTTGACAGACATCTTCCGTCTCCCCTCGATACCCAATCTTCTCACCCAATCTTTACCATCCAGACATAGACTCTCTGAACCTGACAGCGTGGAGAATACTCCCGCCATAAGAGACATACTTGATCGAGCTTGAAAACCTTCGACCCAACTTCTGTATCGGAACAAATGGGAGGTTTTCCTATCCTTTGTCAACTCCCACAACTTACCTGCAATCCCTGTTTCTTTGAAGACTGTGCTTACCTTTGTCCTTCATCTCTTTCATCTCGGACTATCTCACTCTACCTTGAAGGTTTATATATCTGCTATTGTGGTGCACCAGTCACTTCATTCCGATTCTGCTAAGCTTTTTTCCCACCCAACTTTGAAAAAATTCCTCAGGGGACTCCACAATATTCACCCACCACATCAACATCCTCTTCCACAGTGGTTCTTACAGCTTGTCCTCAATACACTTACTCAACCACCCTTTGAACCAATGGCAACTGCCAATTTTAAATTACTTTCTCTGAAAACGTCATTCCTCGTAGCAATAACATCTGCTAAACGTGCTAGCGAACTTCCTGCCCTCAGATCCGACCCACCTTTCCTCCAGTGTCACCCAGATAAAGTCACCCTCTATCTTGATGTATCATTTTTACCTAAAGTTGTCTCTGAATTTCATCTTAATCAACCGTTGATATTACCTACTCTATTCACTTCTCCTTCTACACCACTTGAGCACATGCTCCACATGCTTGATGTAAGACGCTCTCTGGCCTTCTGCATTGATAGGACTAAGTCGTTTAGAAAATCACCATGACTTTTTCTGTGTTTCCATGGCCCTCATAAAGGTGCTCCAGCTTCACTTCAAACTTGATGGATTATTCAAACTATCTCATTGGCATATGAATTGACAGGTAAAACACCACCTGAACATTTGAAAGCCCATTCTATTAGAGTGCTGTCCACCTTTACTGCACTTCAGCATGGAGTTGAGCTTCCTCACATCTCCCATGCAGCTACATGGTCTAATCCATCAACCTTTGTGAGACATTACCGTCTTGACATCTGGGCGAAAAATGATGCTGCCTTTGGCAGAGCTGTTTTGATTTCTCTTCTACTGTGACGTCCCACCATCCAGTAAGTGAGCTTGCCAGTCACCCAACTGTGTGCATTCACAGAGGCCACGAAGAAGAAAGAGAGGTTACCTACCTGTAACCATGGTTCTTCTAGTCGCCCTCTGTGACTCCACACATCCCGCCCATCCTCCCCTCTGTTCGTCATGTTGTCCTTTTTAATATAGCTTTTTCACAGTGGCGGACTCTTATAGGAACTGAGGGGACTTTGGGTGGGTGGAGTATGCGCTCCATGGGGGAACATCCCACTAATCAATGACCTTTAAGCTCTAGAAACTTCCAAGAGGTCCTGCGCAGGTGCAGAACAACCCAATTGTGTGGATTCACACAGGACCACTAGAAGAACTATGGTTACAGGTAGGTAACCTCTCATTCCCAGCCTTGGGACCCCAAGACTACAATTCTTGTTCTTGGACTGCAATTCCCAGAAATCCTGGCCAGCACAGTTAGTGGTGAAAGTTTCTGGGAGTTTTAGTCGAAAAACATATGGAGACCCAAGGTTGGGAACCACTGCTCTGTTGGTTTCTCGATGGAGGAAATGTGTTTGGGTGGGTCTGTTTATTTTGACAAAGGGGTTGTTGTCTAATAATATTTTGTTTTTCTCTCTCTTTCACCTTGATATAACTTAATTATCCTTAATATAACTATGCCAGCAAAATGGTCTATGGAGAAGGCAGATAGATTTGAAAACACTTGGGTATTAACATTGGTATTGATATTAGGATTCGTGAGGAGTAGGTGGCTTGCAGGTTTTTAGTATAAATGATGAGGAACAAGGAATGGCAAGGATGCTTTGGAATAGATGGACATGTGTTTAGGTTAATTTGTTGAGGAAGAAAACAACAGATCAATGTGGTGCTTCTCCTAGATCAGAAGTTCTCAACCTTGGGTCCTCAGATGTTCATGGACTAAAACCCCCCTAAGCCCTCATCACAAGCTCTGCTGGCCATGAATTCTGGGAGATGTAGTCCAAGAACACCTGGGGACCCAAGGCTGGGAACCTCTGTTCTAAATGGCCCTGAGGCTCCAAAGTAATTTCTGTTCAACAGGGTAAGCCATCGAAGTGAGGACAAAGATGGCGACTCTGACAACACGACAGCAAGTGAGCCGCCTCCAACCCCTCAGGACGATTCACCGGACAGAAGGCGGGCCTCCACCGATACCTCCCGGTCCACTTACAGCCTCACAAGACGGATCTCAAGTATGCTTGTTTTTGGCATTGGGATTGTAGGATTGCTCGGGCTAATGGAGGGGCGTGGGTTTAGCAGCTGTTGGGACAGTGATCGCAGCTTGGTGGCAGCAGAGGAGAAACTTGGTTCTGCCTGCTGTTTTGTGTTGGAGTGAACAGTGAAACCTCACAAGTCAAGCAGAGAACAGCAGTCCCCTTGCTGAAAGATAGTACACTGTCTTCTCCAAGAAGGAGATCGAAACCTTTGAAGCATTGTTTAGTTGTTTGCCTCACTTATTTATTTATTTTTTAAAAAAGTTGGAGAAACTGTTTAGCTTGGAGAAGATAAGATGGGGTGGAAGTGGGAGAATGTGAGAAGACTCGTGAGATATCTGGCAGACTACCCCAAAGAAAATTTGTTTTCTGATGCTCTGGAGGAGAGGACAAGATATAAGAAGAAGGTTAAGTTATAGATTAGACTGGACGATCACCCATTCCTGGACTATGGGAACTTGTTCTCACTTCTGGAACGCCCACCTCCCAAAAAGAATCACAACAGCAAGGGCTTTTGAAAGAAAATTGAAATGGAAGAATCCGCCATTTTAAAAAAATATATAGGAGATTCTTGGGGTGCTAAGGTCCTCTCAAAACATGCTATAACTGCCCTACACTTCGTAGAGCAGTGGCCCCCAACCTTGGGCCTCCAGGTGTCCTTGGACTTCAATGGGTGTTCACACGTGTTATAAAGGAACATTAGATTTTCAACGGACATTGGGGAAAATATTCTGACAGTAAAAGCGGAGTAGAGCAATAGAACCCATTGCCTGTTGTTGCCTCTAGCAGAGGCTAGACTTTCAATGTTCTGGGACTCTGCTGGCAGTGGATTGCCTGCATCAAGCAAGAGGCTCGGCCAGATGTCTCACAAGTTCTTCTCCAGATTTAGGATTCTTCGTATTCTCGGCATACAGATATTTATAGGATTGTCTTGCTAAGAACATAAGGAAATGATGAGATCATGAAGACAGCAGCAAAGAAAATGTGAGAAAGTGACCGAGCTTTCTGCAGCTAACTTTCTGCAGTGCCACCAGCCTTCTGAAAGAAGAGTGTGTTTGCTCCCCTTGGGATGGAGCTGTTTGGGTTTGCTTTGGGTGGGACTCTCATCAAGTAGATGGGCTGTCATTGAAGACACACTGCATTCTGCAGAACAGCCCACCACAGTTACTCTAGTCAGGGGAGACAGAGCAAGGTGAAACTGATAAGTTTGTTGAGGGTTAGGGTTCGCTCTTCAGCAGCACCCATTCCCTACGGCAACTTGATCTTTAGACATCTGAGGGAAGGGGGAGGCTGCGCAAGACCATCCCTGGTGGTCCATATCCATTCCTGGGCTCCCACCCCAGTTTTTTTTCTTACAAACATGGCAGTTTGAAAACTGAAAATCCCCCTTTTACTCTAATGGTCAATTTTTAAACTAATATTAAAAATTTTTGTTTTGAGTACTCCTAGAATGGTGGGTTACTCTCAAAACAAGGCAGAATTACCCCCCACACCATCCCCAGGGCACTGAGCTCCTGTTCCCCCCCCCTCCGAACGTTAAACATTTGTATGGATTCTGGGGGCCATAACTGGGCCTTTTGGAGGTCAGGAGTGTCCCACTGGCCAAATGTTTCCTATTCCTGTCCTAAGATTTCAAAGCTAAAATCTGATTCTAAGGGTAGACCCTTTTGAGGTCACGAGGTATGGCAGGCAAAGACTGGGTCTGGGGAAGAAGTAATTCTGTGGAGAAGAATATGGCCGGAATCCAGGCAAAGGGGCTAAAAACCTGACTGACAAGGTAGTGTGCCAACTCAGAGCCGAGGTGGCACTTTTTAGTGTCCAGCACCCAGAAAAATTCTTCCTAACAGCTGCAGGAGTTGTTGTCCTTCCTCCTAGGGCTTCCAACAGGGTGGATTTAATTTATATCACAATTTATTTATTTTTTTTTTATTGGATCATTTTGAAAATTTAGATTTGAAAAAATATTTTTCAAATTTAAACTGTGTTTTAAATCAATTTGATTTTTAAAAAAATAATAACTGATTTTTATCCACCTCGGCTTGCAGTCTCTGCAGCCGTTCCTGTAGGACCCATCATAGGTGGAGTGCCCTTCCAGACCTGCTGTTACTGCTGGAGCACACAAGGAGGTGGTTGTTCCCCCCCTTCTCCCGTGCCCTGTGCTCTGTGTCACTGCTGCCAGGGGCTGTGCAGCCATAAGCCTTAACTTAGGCGCACCGTTACCTGCCTTCCTCCAAATGGTGCAGTGTGCCCAAAGGCATCGTACCACTGACCCTCTCCCTAGCCCATTCCACTGAGACCTGAACTTTTGTGAAAGCACAGCAGACATAGAAACAAAACTGCAGAGGCCAGGTGGCAGCTGGGAATGTTTGGATAGGGATGCCTGGGCTTCAGAACCACCTGACGTACACAAACCAAACACAGCATCAGGAAATCATTTGAGTGCCAGCGAAACGTACATGAATCCAAAGTACAGTGGTGCCTCGCTAGACGAAAAACCAAACACAGCATCAGGAAATCATCTGAGTGCCAGCAAAACATACATGAATCCAAAGTACAGTACAGTGGAGCCTCGCTAGACAATTGCCTCATGGGACGAAAAACCCGCAAGACGATTGCTTTTTGCGATCACTATGGTGCCTCGCAACTTTTTTTTTCTGTGACCGTGCTTCACAAGATGGTTTTTTTGAGACCAATGCTTCGCAAGACTTTTTTTTTTAGACCAATGCTTTGGAAGACTTTTTTTGAGACCAATGCAACCTCGCAAGATGATTTTTTCACAAGACGACGATTTTCACGGAATGAATTAAAATCATCTTGTGAGACACCACTGTAGTATAAGCCCTTATGTATGTAGGATGGGGAAGCTCTTTGTCATGGAATGTTTCTGGGGAATGCTAGGATCTGTCATTTGGTGAGATACTTGGGGATTCTCTGCTGTTCAAGGGAATGCACAAGGGTGGAGTGTCTGGAAGAGAATTCAGAATCCCTCACCAAACTACAGGATCTCAGCATTCCACAGAGTGGAGCCATGGCAGTTAAAATGGAATCAGACTTCTATAACTGTGTAGTATAAATATGTCTTAATGGCTAAATTCAATATCAAAGGTGTCCCAGTGATGTACGGTTTTATATCACATAAAACTTTACATATAAATCTGTGCCTTTGCACCATTTATGAACATTTGCTCTTTGTTCTCATGTGCAGGTCTTGAATTGAGGCAGCCAAGTTCTCCCCTTGTTGATATCAAGCCTATTGAGTTTGGGATTTTGGGAGCCAAAAAGGAAATTGTTCAGCCAAGCATCTTGAGGAAAACCTATACTCCGGATGACTATTTTAGGAAATTTGAACCTAGACTGTATTCCCTCGACTCCAATAGTGATGACATGGACTCCTTGACAGACGAGGAAATCTTAGCCAAGTATCAACTGGGTATGCTGCATTTTAGCACACAGTATGACTTGTTGCACAATTACCTCATCGTCCGTGTCATTGAGGCAAAAGATCTGCCACCCCCGATCTCCTACGATGGTTCGAGACAGGACATGTCACATTCGAATCCGTACGTGAAAATTTGTCTGTTGCCAGACCAGAAAAATTCCAAGCAGACAGGAGTGAAACGCAAAACCCAAACCCCAGTGTTTGAGGAGAGGTACACCTTTGAAATCCCATTTCTAGAAGCCCAGAGGAGGACTTTGCTGTTGACTATCGTGGATTTTGACAAGTTTTCCCGCCACTGCGTCATTGGGAAAGTGTCGATGCCTTTGAGTGACGTAGACCTGGTGAAGGGCGGACACTGGTGGAAGGCCTTGGTCCCCAGTTCTCAGGTAAAGTTTTCTTTCAGAGTTGGTGGTTATTGCTGTTCTTACTACTTAAGTACCTTTAGTTGGCTTGTCTTTCTCTTCCACCTCCCAACTGTGATTGACTCTCAGCCACAGTCTGGGAAAGTTACTTTTTTGAACCACAACTTCCAGAATCCTCACAGCTAACATGCCCAGTGTCCACGGAACTGTTTAAGATAATTTCTTGGAGATCTGGAATCAACTGATGTTCAGTGAGTGGGCCTTGTATGAGTGTTACGTGTTGTCAAGTAATTTCTGATTGATGGCAAACCCTAGTAGGGTTTCCAAGGTATGTGAGATATACAAACCCTAGTAGGGTTTCCAAGTTATGTGAGATATTTAAGAGGTGATTTTAATAGTGCCACTCCTAGCAAGCTTCCGTAGCCAAGCGGAAATCTGAACCCAGGTCTCCTGATTCTTAGTCTGACACTCTTGTAGGCAAGCAGGGATTTGCTGACACTCTGTCCACTATACTACGTTGGCTCTTTTAGTTGTGTTCTCAGTATTCGTCCACTATACTACATTGGCTCTTTTAGTTGTGTTCTCAGTATTCTGGCACATTCTCTTCAATGATGCCTATACGACCTCCTTGGGTACCTGCTGAATACCTGTCTTTTTAAGGAAGTCTTTATGAAGAGGTTGAACCAAGAATCTGAACCCATCAGCCGGGTACCCAACTCACTGAACAATCCAGGTAGCAGTTTGATGCACTTGTGTTCAAAGTAGGTCTTTCAACCAAAGGACCAAATTCAATTTCAGAGCAGTTCTTGGAGGCCAAAGCTTGTGGGGCAAAAGGCAAAAGTGTAGGACCAAGAATACCAGCATATTTAAACTTAAAGCAGGGGTGCTGATAACTAAGCCTCAGAAGAAGTGTTTCAACTAGACATGTGTGTTTTTGGATGGCAACTTCCAGAATTCCCAAGACAGCAGAATTCTGGGAATCATAGTCCAAAAAAATACAAATCTGCACACCTCAAGTTTCAACCTTTTGGAATGGGAACAAAACTTGGAAGCCAGAATACAGCTTCCCAAAACGTCTTTGGAATTGACTTTGGACCTCAGGCTGAAACAGATGCCTCATCTTTGTGATGTAAGATGTATTCCTTCCTCCATTGCAATCTTGTCCAGCTCATGACTTCACCTTGTTTTGTCCAGATCCCTTGCATTAGCATAGCACAGTAGAGCTGCCACTGAAGGTTACACCAGGGTTTCGGTGGAATTCTGAAGGGATATTTGATATTTCAGTATCTTGTTTCTGGCTTCTTGCCAACCTGTTGGGATTTTAGCCACATCCTGAAACCCCTCAACTAGTGGAACTGATTTAACTGCTGCTTATCAAAAATCTTTAAAGATCAAAGAAGAACCCCTAATTAGAGATAGAATTTTTTTTAAAAGGCTTATTATTTTGATTAAAACACACAAGAGACTTTGGTGGTCCTCTAAGAGACAGCCGGGCATCCCAACCTTGGAAGAGACTGAAATTCAGGATCAACCAATTTTGCTTCAGACCATTTTTTGTAAGAATCAACCAAAATCTCCATATTCTTCTATATTCAGGATGGAAAGAACATCAGGTGTGTTTTTAAAGAAGTTCAAATGTGGAAGAAACAACAAACTACAGATCTGCCCATTCTGGTCTGCATTCTGAAGCCTTTATTTTTCAGCATGTGGCATTCAAGCTCACTCCCTTGTTTTCAAGGATGTCCATATAGGGGTGTTAATCCCAATTGGTCAACATGTTTGGAGGGGAGCACCTAGACCCATCCGCTCCATAGATGATTTCCACATACGTTCACCAGTGAATCTGAAAGAGGTTGACATGCCCGTGGAGGCTTTCCGTGTGAGCAAGAATGTTGGAAAACTCTTTCCTCCCTAAACTAACCGTTGAATGTGTAGGGTGAAATGATACGAGGGATAAGAATAGACACTTGACAACCTGGGATTCTTGAATGTTCGAGTAGGACTTCTTTTTCTTTTTTGACAGAGGCAAATCCTCAGCTTTAATGTCTAGGAACATAGCTGTAGAAGAAGCTGCCATGCACTGAGCAGGTTGTAGTGCAGGTGGTCATCGCAGGAGTCTCCGTAGCCAGCCCCTTGCCCAGAGGGTCCGGAAAAACAGACAGATGGATCGGTCCATATCAAGAGCCAAGCTCTTGATGGCTTTGTTCAGGAGCAAGATACCTCTAATACTGTGCATTACAACAAGAATAGCTTACAAGAAGATACTGTCCTTGGGAAAATCCATTTCTCTTCATGTGCTCTGAGGTCTGAAGAGAGGGCATAGGAGCCTGAGGAGGTTGGCTGTTGGTGTCACAGTCACTGCTAATCCTGGAGCTTAAACTCTTTGAGCCCCGGCTCCTCTACATCACTGACAATGAGTCCTTCACCGGTCCGTCTAGTCCCACATTGTCAACTCTGGCTGACAGCAGCTGTCCAGTGTATTAGGCAGGTTTCTTTCCTACCTCTACCTGGAGATTCCTGGTATTCCTTACATTCCTTCCGTGCTATCCTTGTCCATCTCATCCATTCCTTCCTTCTGTGCTATCCTTGTCCATCTCATCCATTCCCAGAACAAGTTCTCTTAAACACAGAAACTGTTTCCCTTGCTTTTGCTTCTTTACTAAGGAAAAAAAAGGAGTGTATGGCTCCCGTCCCCTAGGCCCTTTTGCCCTGGCTGATTCTGCAAGACCTAAAAGGTGCCTTGGATGCAGACTGATGCCTGGAAGGCAGTCAGGAAATTCCTCTAAGAGCCCAATCCCAAGGTGGAGCCTGTGTGACGGATGTATCGCAAGTGAGCACCCTGCCTCGCTCTTCATATCTGGCAGGATTGGTGGCCACTGGACCAGCAGAGTATTTTCTGATTGCCTCGCATGGCACAGAGCAAACAAGCTGTTTTACTCTCCTCTCAATTCACTGGATAAAAATCAAGGAAAACAGCCCAAGTCATGTTTCCAATTCACTGGATAAAAAGAGGGTATGATTAGCAACAAATCAAGGAAAACAGCCCAAGTCATGTTTTGCAGTTCAGCCGTTGTCAAGCACTGCCTTGTTGCAGCCAGGTCTCCATTGTGGCAGGAGAGGGCAGGAGGTGCTGGGCTGCCTGGTGGGGAGAGGTTTGCTACCCTTCCTTCCTCTCCCTGGTGTGAACGTTGCTTTTGCAGGCTGGGAAGTGAGCCTGGCAGGGCAATGCCCAAGCACGTACGTGTGCGTGTGCGTGTGTGTGTGTGTGTGTGTGTGCATCAGCTAAATACCTTGTCTTCGTTGTGCTTCAGCAGTCTGCTTCTGCTTTTCTTGCAGTCCAGAATGGGCCCCCTGAGGGCACTATTACTAATCATGATTTTCTGTAGTAATGAGGAAAATCAATTTAAGGTTTATGATTAGGAAACTCTTGCATGTGAATGGAACCTTGCAAGGGGAACCTTTGCTTGCTGCATTTTCTGTATATTCTTTCTTAATTTAGTACCTTTACATTCCATCTTCTTTTCTTATTGGTGCCTGGGGGTTGATGATGGTCACCTGCTCAGGCCTAGACTTAGCTTAGTTCTTGAAAAGCAACTGCACTGTGTCATTTCACATGGATGTCAAAGAGCTGAACAAGCTGAGCCAGACTCTCTAGGAAGGAGTGGGTTGCATGTTTTCTGCTGCAAAGTAGTAACATGTCAAATTAAAACCCATTGTTCCTATGGCAGCCTGGCTGTGTTTCAGCAGCGGCTAGCAAAGAACGTTTGATTCAGCCCAAATGGCAGTCAAAGGTTGTCTGACCTTAAATGACAGCACTCTGGGTACAAGTCAGAAGAACAGGCTATGTAATGCAGTAGTTTAAAAAGAAAAGCCAAGAATAGTGATTATACTTTGAAAATCATTTGTTTAATTGATATACTTTCGTCACCAAAGTACAGTATGCTAACAAGGTGGACTTTGAAAGGTACAAGTAAAATGATTTAAAAATCAATATTAAAATGACATGAAATAATTTATAACATCATAGTGGGATCAAGTTAAAAGCAATGAAAAGCACAGCAATAAAAAAATTAAATCCATTAGAATTCCAGTCCTTAGATGAAACACAATGAGTTCTTGGCATCTTATAGACCTTAACATTTATTACAGCATAAGCTTTTGGAAACTGCAGATCACTTCATCAAATGTATTAAATATTAGCCAACATTTCGGGATGCCCGCAGTACGCATCCTTGTTGGTGGTGGGATTCTAGTCAGGTGAGATCAGAAGGAAATGAAATGAAGGAAATTGTGATACTGGCCATCCACAAACCTGACTTGGTTTGCCCCTAGTCCTATGTGGGTTGGGGGTTTTTGGGATTGCAATTCATTCATCTCAGGAAATAGACTGGAATTTTGATGTAGTGAGTCCATCAGGCCCAAATCCTGTTTATTTTCAGTGTACATGCTATGATCTGTTATATAAACAATTGTAGCAGTAAACCGCTCAACACAAATTAATATTTTGCCAGGTTTTTGTTGGTATTCGTCTTGTCTTGAAATATAATGTATTAATTGAGTTGCATGCGGCTATCTTTTTTTAATGCATCCGAGATGTTTGTACATATTGCTTGAGTTCAATAAATCTCATGGAAGAGCCCATTCTACTAATTGTCAAGAAGTATGAGTGTCCTAATAACTGCAAAATCTACAGTTCTCTGGGGTGAGAGACTGGTTCACAAGCCTGTAGTTCCTCAAGTTTGTCAGAACAGAACAGCTTTTCCCAGTCCAGTTGCTACAGATGCTGTGGACGATTCCCATCTCACTCCACCAACCAAAGGCCATGCTGGCTGAGAATGATGAGAGTTGTAATCTAAGGCAACTGTAGCACACTATGATAAGGTAAGCTACTCTGAAACAAGAAGGCCATTCGTTTTCTGATGTTTCTCTGTTGAAAGAGTGGTGATATGAGATAATAGTTGTTAATATTATGAGACATCCTCTCTGGCAAGGTTGAGGACACTTCATGGTTCAGTGAACGTTCGGTAACAACAAACATATTTTTAAAAATAGCCTAAAGCATAACATCTCTACAAGCAGACAAGGGGCAAAACCAGTTTGTCTAGCAGTTGATCTTAGCTGTACCCTGAATAGTAGCTGTGAGGTGCAGTTCCTTCCTTTGAGGCTGTCAAAGCTTTGTGTGTTTAAGAGAGTTAGATAAATTAAAGGGGAGGAAGATTTGCCCTAAAGTAAAATTATTTTTGAAATGAAATGTGCAGCTTGGAAAAAAAAGCTATTTGCATAAGTGTAGAAAAACAATTAGCCACCTCTGGCAGAGCAAGGTCAATGGAGTATAAACTATCATGGCAACTGAATTAATGTTTTGTAACTACTTAAAGTTAAGATAATGGTAGATAACACTGTTGTAAAAGAAAATATTTGACAGATGAATGAATGAAAAATTATATAACCTTATAGTGCCATCTTTTCGAAAATGTAAAATCCATAAAATGTAATAATTAAGATTCTACATTACTACCTAGAAAAAAAATATCTAAGGTAGAAATTTCCTAAGCTAGCAAGAATACTCAGAACATGGCAGCTTGCCAAAACATTTGTTTCTAACCCAGGGAACTGAGTAAAAGTAAAGTCTATGAGATATTATATTACAGTTGCACATACATAAATTTCCTACTATTAGAAAACCTGAGTAAGCATATAAACAATTTCTTATCATAAAAAGAAAAGTAAAACTATTGTTAAGAGTTATAAAGATGTGTAGCTAGGATACACACAATGAACACGGCATTCATCGCATTATTATTACTCCACGCACCTTTGGGCACCAGACATCAAAGAACAACAGCCAACATGGATTTTCCTCCATTGACTTTAATTGGTATGACTGGGTGAGTAATGTAGAAAATGTATTATTTTTTTCTCTGTATGTTCTTAACATGCTTAGAGACTAAGAAAGTTATTTTCTTTAATATATATTTTATTTTTCAGAACTTCAATGTTTTGAACAAATGCTTTTCACTTTATATGTGGGGGTGGGATTCAGGACCAACCTGACACAGACTGTCCCTTGAAATTGGAGCTCCTGAGACTGCTTTCATTGCTGATCAAGATGTCTGGTGTCTTGAGTAGAACAAAATTGTCTGGTGATGCTTTCAGCATTTTACACCAATGGAACATAGATTTTTTGGACACAGACTTCCAGTTAGCTCATCTTGCTTCCGCCTTGATTTAAAACACACACAAAATAATTTTTCACAGCACTGGCTTCCTCTTGTGCACTTCTGTTGCAGAATGAAGTTGAGCTGGGAGAACTCTTGCTATCGCTGAACTACCTTCCTAGCGCAGGAAGACTGAACGTCGACATCATTAGAGCAAAGCAGCTGCTACAGACAGATATGAGCCAAGGTTCAGGTATGTTCCTGGGCTTTTTCCAAATTGTCTGCCATGCATGGTTGGTTGTGAGTTGTGCCAGAACCTGGCAAGGTTGGACTACAACTTCCGGAATTCCATAGCCAAAATGACCAACAACTGGAAGTGTGTATAGTTGGAGATGTGAATAGCTGGAGGTACATGTTGGAAGCACTTCTATGTCTCCAAACATCCTTACGGATATACATAGTTGAAAATGTGATAATATGTGCTGCCTAGGCTAGAAAATGTGAGCTGCCTAGAGAATGTAGCTATTTAACAAGGAGCAGTAAGTTGATGTTTAAGGAAATAAAGGCTGAAATTATGTTGCTTATCATCATAAGTCATACTGGAATAGGTCCATAGACTCAGTGGGGGTTTGCTGAATCAACTCTTCTGTAAATTCTGTTAATTCAAATGTGACCCTCTAGTTGTGAATTATTATGCTGAGCTGCAAAGAGAGTATGCCCATTTGAATCAACCAGATTTACAGATTACTTAACTCACCAAATCCACATTGATTTAATTGGTTTACACTAGAGTAACATACAATGCTGAGCAACAGGATTTCAGCCCATGTGTCCAGAGTAATTTTGATCTGTAATTTTGTCAGTGTAATGCTACTGATGCAGTTTTTCATAAGCAGTTCCTATGGCTAGTTAATCACCTGGTAGTCTTTCTTCCGATGACAAACATCTATGTCAGAGGTGGGCCCCCATTGGCTTAAATGTGCCACAGCACCCCATGTCCCCCCAAACTTCATTTAAATAATTTTTTTAATTGGCTGGAAAAGATATCCTGGTGTCCTCTAGGAGATGTGAAAGCTGATCTTGCCTTGTTCTGATGCCTCTCCAGCATCCTTTCCCTTTCCTCCAGATTTAAAATATATTAAAATATGTTTAGGCCTTTTGCAGTAGTCCCACCATTTTTGTAAATAATTTTTTTGAGGGGGGTGCATGGGAGCAGGTTGAGTCCCCTCAAGGTTCAGAGATGGGTCTGTCCTGAGACCCTGGAGTTTCCCTGCCCTGGTTTATGTACTTAAGTGGGATGGTCCTCAGATGATAGACATATAATATTGCTCTGGACCAATCCTCAATGCCTCATTGGCCTGGAAAAATCTACTAGAGTTTATACTCTATTGACATAGTCTCCAAAGGACTCTGTGGGGTGTCTAAAGTAATTTTGGAAAAAAAAGGGGATGGCAACCTTAAAAATGGGTTCCTGTAAGTTCCAGTTTGAGCCAGGCCTCGACCTTACGCCTTTGCACAAGGAGATTATATTTCTTCCTTGCCATTGGTTCTGGAGGTGAGGGAGACAGAGCTGTTATAATGAAATGATTTAGTTTCCAGAAAGGTTTTGACCTTAAGCATCTCTTGTGAAGGTGTTCGCTGTTCTACATTTATCATGGTTGAGAAATGTCTCTAATAGATCCAAAGGTCAGTATTTCTAATGCTGGTGGAACTCTTCTGAAATATTTATTTTGCTTTTTTTGGATTTTTTGAAAAATTGCACCGACCTCCTTAGTAATAAAATCATGAAAAGGCAAGCCATAAAATGGCAGTTCAATATATAATAAATTAAAGGGAGATGTAAAGCAACTTCAAAGATATTTTCGCTTAATGCCTAAAAGAAAGGAGGCCAGCTGGATTTCCCTGGAGATTTGGGGCGGATATAAAACACACAGACCTGTGCACACCAGCCAAATATTCCCTAGTTGTAGCCCAGTTGAATCATTGCATAAATTTCTGGTCACACGACATATGAGCATCATTGAATAATTTTCCTCACCAGCAGTGTAACCTCTGTGACACGTCTCTACAAATATAAAGTAAGGGGCTGCACTGCGCCAGGACGCAAGTGAGGAAATAAATTGGTTCCATGGTGTAGCCGGCTATCAAGTTTCAAATAGGTATTGCGCCAGGACACAAGTGAGGAAATAAATTGGTTCCACGGTGTAGCCGGCTATCAAGTTTCAAATAGGAAAAAATGAATCAGTAACATTAAAGCAAATGGGAACGTTCGCCCCAGTATATATTGCGATTGAGTACGATGGAGGTATGGAATGTATTGTTGGGGGATAAGGCCCTAAGAGTGTTTGGCAACTGTTCTTATAACCTGGATGGGGATCTTTCCCTGTATTGTTTGCAGTCGCTTCTGTTCATAAAATATTTTTGTCTGTTCATAAAATATTTTTGCACAGTAAGTTGAGCAAGGGGAACTGTTTGCTCCAGATTGTACAGCTCTTGACCTCCACCCTAAAGTGTAGTCTGGATTCTGGTCCCAGCCTATTCAAGGAGAGCCCCGACCGATCCTTTGGGACCAGTGGCGCCAGTGCTGGTTGTTACAGACCCAGCACCATGGCTAAGCCTGAACTTGTTGGAACTGGTCCTTTGAGCCAGTAACCTTTGAATACTTGGGGCGAGGTAACTCCTGGGCCTGTTTTGTAGCCCGCCTGCAGAACTACCACCACACCTCGCTCCATCAGCCTTTAGCATCTCAATTTCAGTCCGACAGTGCAGACAGCAAGCTGGGAGGGCATCAATAGGGAGAATGCTAGACTTGGAGCAAAGCAACTGCCCCTTTGAGGCTTCCATTTTATGGGGAAGGAGAAGAGGCCAGAGGCTGAGAGGGGAGATACTGGATTGAAAGGTGATGGGTACAAAAATGCAGTGAATGTGTTTCATCTGTTATTTCACCACTGTTTTGAAAAAGGAATGAGGGCTCTGGGATCATAATGCACAGCTGTCGTCATATCCAGAGTGGTTATATAGCATATATGTAGAGATGGGGGTATTCATATAGGAATACAAATATCCCCCCCCAACAGGTGCAGATAACGAGGATCTGGCCCCCTGGGGCTGGACGGTCCACTCCGCGGTGCCTTCCTATCACCCTGAAGCTCGTGACGCTCCGGAGCTGCTCTTTGACCTGGCAGGAAGGCTTGTTGCCCTGCCGTCTACCAGGATTGGCTAACCCATCACGAGCTCTGGAGTGATAGGAAGGGATTGCGGAGCGTGCACCAGCAGTGGACAGGTGAGTGGTCAGTCTGGCCGCAGGGGGGCGGACCCTCATTATCTGCACCTGTGAGGGATATTCATATTCATATATGAATACCCCCATCTCTACATACATATAGAGAGGGGGGTATTCGTATATGCGCGCACACACACACACACACACACACACACACACACACACACACACACACACACACAAACACACACACACACACACACACACACTGGCCTTTCCTCCTAAGTGCAGCTGCCCCTCACCTACGCAGCTTCTTGATGGAAATAGCAACCTGCATATTGTGCCTTTAGGATGTTTTGATAGTCCGCTCGGCGGTGCCTTCCTATTGCTCTGGAGCTCATGACGCTCCGGAGCTGCTCTTTGACCTGGCAGGAAGGCTTGTTGTCCCGCCGTCTACCAGGATTGGCTAACCCATCATGAGCTCTGGAGTGATAGGAAGGGATTTCGGAGCGCGCACCAGCAGTGCACAGGTGAGTGGTCGGTCTGGCCGCAGGGGGCGGACCCTCATTATCTGCACCTGTGGGGGATATTCATATTCATATATGAATACCCCCATCTCTACAGGAGTATTCATATATGGGGGTGTATTCGTATATGAACACACACACACACACACACACACACACACACACACACACACACACACTGGCCTTTCCTCCTAAGTGCAGCTGCCCCTCACCTACGCAGGTTCTTGATGGAAATAGCAACCTGCCTATTGTGCCTTTAGGAGGTTTTGATGGGAGCAATTTTGGGTGAATGTCAATTGCTTAGAGAAACAGATTGTTTCCCTCTGTGTCTCAGTTCCTCTTTCCCTCCTTTTTACCTCAGTCAGGGTCCTCGGTGTTCAGTGTAAGTTAGAAACGTGTCTGTTTTCTAAATGAGTCAGAGTGTGCTCGTGTTTAGAAATGTGTCTGTTAGCGTGAGTTAGTAAAAGCAGCATTTCGGTGTTCTGAATATTTATGTAACCAGTAAACCGAGTGAACCAAATAATGAAGCCAATGAGTTACAATACCATAATAACCAGTGGACATGCTTGTTTTATATTCTGACTAGAAGATTTTCGTAAGCAGAGAGAAACATGTTTATTCTTTCTAAACCAAGA